GCGTGCGCGCCCAGCGCGGCCAGACAGAATCCTCGCTGCCAGGTTGTTTCCGGCAGGGCCAGGTGTACCTGGACGGCATCGTGAGCATTCTGCGACATCGCCAGACCATCGATTTCCCGCTGCTGACCTCATTGGGCAAGGGGTCCTGTGAGTATGTGGACCACCTGCGGCCTCATGGGGTGCTGGATAATACCCGGGTGCCCCACTTCATGCAGAACTTGGCACCTTACCGGCAGCAGCTGGAGCACATCATGGCCACCAACCGGCTCGATGAGGCGGAGCTGGGTCGCCTGCTGCCCGATGTTGTAGGTTGAGGGCTGCAGACAGAGGCCCTGGACTAGAAGCTCCAGATAAGGCCCCCAGAACATGAAGCTCTTTGCTCTGTGCTTCCACGGCCTGGGTGTTTCTTGGGGGTGTTGGGAGGGCAGGAGCATTCCTTGAGAAGGAGTGGCAACATCAAAGGGTTTGTGTCCCTTGCTAGCCTCCTTGCAGCAGCATGTCTGGCAAACTGAGTCGCCCTCCTGCCTCCAGCTCTCTGTTGAGCAGAGGGAAGGCATGGGGGCAGAAGGAAGCTGAGTATTGATGGAGATGCGGTTGGTTTGGGAATAGAAACTTGTTCTTGCATGAGGTGGCTTTGGTTGTCCCGGTACTCCAGTCTGTCCCTTCCCTCACCTGGCCCCTTGGTGCTCCTTCAGCATTCGTGCTGTCTACCTCTCACTGGGTCCTGGTGGGGGTCGGGATCCCTTCTCCTGGGGTGATTGATGGCCTGAGCCTGGGGTCTTGGTAGTAGAGACCCAGCTGGTCTGGGGTGTGCTTTCCAACATTTTGCCTCTCTCACTGGTCATGTATTTATTCCATATTTATATGGTCTACTTCCTGTGGCTGGGAGCAGCAGCTCCTGAAGGTTCCACCGGGGGGAACAAGACACTCCTTCCTGGAAGATACCGATTTTCCTAGCCCCACTCCCATTACACACACACACACACCTAGCCCCACTCCCATTACACACACACACACACACACACACACACACACACACCCCACACACGGTGATTCAGGCCTTGTGAATCAAGCCCAAGAGCTCCCTTGGCCCTGTCCCCACTCCCTCCACTGGCCTCTGCTGTTCCTGTCTCTGCCCACACCCTCACAGCTGGTCTCTGGCAGAGGCTGACGTAGTCTAGGAGCAGCTGCAATTGCGCCTGAGGGACAGTCCCTAGAGTTTGGTGGCCCAAGTCCTGAACCCCTCCTGGACCAGGTGAGGTGCAGAGGTGCTTGCTGCTTCCAGTTTCCAGACTTAGCTGTGTGAGCCCCACTCATACCCTTTGGCCTTAGTTTTCCCATCTGTAAAACTCAGAAACACAGTTGGAAAGTCCTTATTCATTTAGTCAGCGAACAGAATATGTATAGAGCGCCTTTTGTGTAAGTTACTGGTCAGAATCCTCACTGAGCTCCCAGTCCAGAGGGAAGCCAGACAATTAAAACAGTAATAAAAAAAAAAAAGAAAAGAAAAAAAGAAAAAAAAGGGATAAGAAGCCTGACATATAAATAGCATGAATGGATAAGAACAAACAACCTGACAGAACAATGCAGGAAAATGCTAAAAGTTTAAATCTTAGACTTGAAAAGAAAAAATCACCAACAAAATGTGAAATAGAAATGCTCAGTTTAATTAGTTAAGAATTCAACTACATTCAAATGAAAAGAAAAGCCATTTGTCATCCTTAGAAAGAAAAATGATAAAAACAGCAGTAAAGTCCTGTGGTGTGAGGCTAGAGGAAACTGGACACTCTTGTCCCTCACATGGAGGAGGGTAAAGTACTAAAACCTTTCAGAAAATATCTATTGAAGTGAAAACAGACGCACTCTGAATCAGTCATCCCACTTTTGAGAATCTGTTCTGTGGAAAATGCATGTTCTTCCTAACCTTTGCTAAGCATTTAAACACACACATACGTATTACGACATATGAATGTTTGTGCAATGATATCTATTATGGCATTATTCATTGGGGCAAAAATCCAGAAGCAACCTTATGTCCATTATGGGTGGGAGGATTGAATAAAGTATGCATGTCTGCACTATAGAATATTTTGCAGCTATTAAGAAAGAATGATATGATTTTATAAATAATTGAAGAAATGTTCATGACATTGGTAATGAAAATGCAAGAGTAATTTGTAGAGAATGAACTTATTAAAAAAAGAAATAGGCCGGGCGCGGTGGCTCACTCCTGTAATCCCAGCACTGTGGGAGGCCGATGGCGGCAGATCACGAGGTCAGGAGATCAAGACCATCCTGGTTAACACGGTGAAACCCTGTCTCTACTAAAAATACAAATATTGCTAGGTGTGGTGGTGTGTGCCTGGTCCCAGCTACTCAGGAGGCTGAGGCAGGAGAATCGCTTGAACCCGGGAGGCAGAGGTTGCAGTGAGCCAAGATCACACCACTGCACTCCAGCCTTTGTGACACAGCGAAACTCTGTCTCAAAAAAAAAAAAAAGAAAAAGAAACAAAATACAACAGATGAGCCTTATCTTTAATCATGCCACTTAATCTCCACTTTCTAAAGAAGATTAGTAACGGCTGTTACTAATAAGGTGAATGAATATTCCTCCTGATCTTTCTCTTGCAT